GAGACCCCTGTGGACTCACAGGAGAAGAATACCAACTTCCTAAGGCACAACATAGTGACCATTTCTTTCATGGAAAAGTAGAGAAAAGAAACCCCTAGAAAACAGTAAGCATTCAGTAACAGGAGAGTCATGTCCCCAGGGTCCTATGGGGGCTCATTCACCATCAATGAGAGCTACTCAGCATCACTTCTTGTCCTTATGTGCTGGAGCTGGCTCACAGGGCCTTCCAAGGGCTGATTGCTATACTGTCAGGAACCTTGATAGCCACTTAAGAACTGATGGTAGCAAGAATTGGCCATGATGGAGTGTTTGTACCAAGAAAATCAATAAAGTGGTGTATCTTGGCTTCTTCCATTCATTAATTTTTTTGAGCTGGTTTTCCTGGCACACTACTGCTTATTGCCCTGCATGAATTCGATCCCCCAGCTCTTCCCTGAAACTCTCACTTTTGTCCTCTACCCCCACTGTCTTCTGCTGGGATTCCCTGAACATTTTCCTCCCTTATTTGGTTTTTGGTTTTTTTTTTTCCACTCTCTGACTTTTCCTAACTTCACATTCAGCAACTCTCATGCACCAAAGCTTGTTAGGAGTTTGTTCTCACTGGACAGATTAGTGAGAAGCGTGTTTTGGTGTGATTTTTCTAGGGAGGAAGTGTTACAAGATGAGGAATTTTCTCTCTGAGATCATAAATCCATACCTTCCAGCCTTTCTTATTAGTACGTTCCAAGATTCTTCATCATTTATAAATAAATGTGTCTCTCACTGTTCTGGAGGCCGAGAAGTCCAAAAGCATGGTGCTGGCTGTGGCAAGGGTGTTCTGGTGCATGGTGACATGGCGGAAGAGTGAGTGAGCATGGGAGATGAGAGCAAATTGGCCTGGCTCATCTTTTTATCAGGAACCCATGCCCACTGAAACCAACATGCCTGTCAGGTAGACAAGGTCACTGGGACTCCATGAGATTGTTTTCAGTCCCAGGCAGCAAGAGGCACTTGGATCTGAAGTCAGAGGATCATGATTTACCCAGTGTTCTTCTACCCGGGCCAGGCTGGAGTCCTTGCCCACTAAGTGGCACCATCATAGTAAGTGTTCATTACAATACTATTTCCGGGAAACAAAGAATGGAGGGCAATGGGCAGAGTCAGAGTTAAGTTGGAGAGTGTCTTGCTTTTACTTCAGACAACAAAGGTTTTTGGTGTTTTGGGGGGTATTTTTGGGTACCAGGGATCAAACTCGGGACCTTGTACTTGTGAGGCAGGTGGTGGAACCACTGAGCTAAATCCCCAGCCCCCAGACAACAAAGTTTTCCAAAATTTTTCTGCTCTTCTAATAGCATTGCTCTTCATTGTTTGTTAATTTGTGGATTATAAGAAATTATCTATTGTTTGTTAATTCATGGATTATAAGAAATTATCTTTTTCATTAATAATGTAAATTTAAATTTTTAAATTAAATTATATCTCACCAGTGAAAAATTGGTTATAATTGATAACTGGATACATAAAACATGCATCATGGTACTTATGGGGCACGCTCTATAAACACAAGCATGGGGGAGAGTCTATGTAACATGACTCAATTCCAATTACGACCATCTCACTCAAACTGGAAAAAAGCATGAAGCATTTGTAATAAAAGATCCTTCAATATTGGGAACTTTTGAACTTCTACTATTGAGATGGAAAAGTTAATTTTGTTTAGGATTAACCCTCTGCAGTACTTAGAAGTGTTCCCTCTGATGATTGCAACAATTTTCCCCAGAATAGCTTCTGGCTCTTTCAACTTCCTCTCTCCTAAAGTGGAGAGTGGCTGTGTTGTGTGTGTCCAGGGTGCATTCTGACTTCCCTGTCAGGGTGAGCACAAGGATGCCCCTGTGCCCCTGTGCTCCTTGGAAGCTGTGCTCCTTGGGATGGCCAGTAAGAACAGAGCTGCTTATAAATGTGACTGTGACTGATAAAAGGCATGTCACTGGACTGAACCTGGATTTGAGAATCTTCAACTCAACTGTTCCTTGGCCAGATCATAAAAATAGTCACAACTACTCCAAAGTCACTCCATCAGGGGAGAAATGCAGAGCAGGGAAAAGAATGTGAGAGAAGAAAACAATAGTCCTAACCAAATGGAATAAAATGAATGACTTCAGCTAACTTTACCACACTACATGAGCATATGAACACACTGAACAGGAACCTGAACTAGTGAGGGGGCATTTGTACCGTGCCACCTTCCCCATGACTGTGACAAAGTTCTAACTTATCGGATTCCACTGTTGCTTAAATGTGTAAAAATGTTCACATAAATTAGCAACCATGTCCCTAGTAACGGGTAACAGTGACAAATGAAAGGAGATTCTGTTGTATGGCCAGAATAGTGAATCAGACCTATGTCATCAAAATGATTTTATGAACAGCTTCCATTAGCTCAGATTGGAAGAGCCTTTCCTTCTCTTGGCTCTGAAATAGTATTTTCAGCTAGTCAGATTGATTTCCATCTGTCTTTCTGCCTCTCCACCCAAACCAGTCCTGTGACTATGCTATTAAACTCTGCACGTTGTTTCATTTCATCCAATTTTAAGCCTAGTCTCCTTTGATTCCCTCTTCTGTAACTCCTCAGGACAAGACGCTCTGGTGGGACACATTCCAGTTCAGCCTCTACATAACAATGCTTTATTGCTGCACTCTCTCTTTCTAGAAGCATCTGTGACGGCAAAGCTCAGGGAAGGGGCTTGAAAGGGAGATTCTGAAATCCTTGGGAAAGTCCAAAAGGGCATGAGGCCTCACAGCGCACTTCAATGGTGACCATGTCCAGAGATTAGTGAGTCACGAGCTAGGCATGCTGAGGTTAAAACGGACAGAGGCCACAAAAGGAAGCTGGCGCAGACACAAGAATTCTTGGCTGCCAAGCCAGAACAACTGTGCAAAACTAACTGCACTTCACAGATTTTTCTTGACTGTCCTCTATGTGTGAGGAACTTGCATTTCCATTCAGCTCCTGTTGTCAAGGGGCAAAAACCCAAGGTGTCGATTAGGAACAGGGACTGTGAGCTGCAGGAGGGTCCCAGGCTGGCAAAGCTGACCTTGATATCTTCACCCTCAGGAGATAGAAGTAGAAACAATGAACTTCAGAGAAGTGTCCCAGAATTGAATGTTAGAGGACATGTAGATGAAACGATGAAAGAAGGGGAGGCATATGCCAGACAGAAGGGAGCGCATGAACAAAGACTTGGAGATGGAAAACTTGAGAGTCTAAAGCTGAGTGTAGGAAGGAGACGGATGGATCCAGAGGAGGTTGGAAGGCCAAGACAGACAGGAAAAGAAATGCTGTCCTCAGTTCAGGAGCATAAACTGTGTCTGAAAGATGTAATGGGAGATACCAAAGGGTGAGGCTAGGCAAAAACAGGGCTCCTTGGCATGTTGGAAAGTCCACTGGGAGAAGCAAGTGAACGGTGGAGGGAGAGCTCAGGCTTGGACTACTGAAGACTTCCGTGGTGATCTGGACAGAGACAGGAGGACCCCAGCTCAGCCCAGCAGGGCCAGGAACAGGGAAGAATTTCACCAAAAAGATAACAGAAAATAGATGAGGTAAGGCTACCTGTTGGGATATATCTCAGATGCAAGCAAAAGTAGGAATATTGATGGGACACTCATGAAGAAGAAGAGCTGGCCGATCCTGAGAAATGGTGACAGCACAGTAGAGGGTAAAGGAGGCAGGACCTGAAGCTACATGCATGGCAGCATCCTGATGTGTATCATACACACAACAGGAAACACTGAAAAGAAGTGCAGAGATTTAGTAGCACATCTAAGCTCTGGACGCTGAGATGACCGATATTTTTATTTTCTTCTTTATACTTTTCTAAAAACTGAGTCACACTTGTGAGGAAGTATAAGAAATGTTAAGAGGGAAAGAGGGGGCCTGGTGCAAGGGCACACGAGTGTAATCCCAGCACTCTGGGAGGCTGAGGCAGAAGGATTTCAAGTTAAACCCTGTCTCAATATTAAAAAATAAAAATAGGGACAAGGATGAGGCACAGTGTGAAGATTTTGGGTTCAAGCTCCAGTGATAAAAAGAAAGAAAGAAAGGAAAAAGAGACAGATGGAAGGAAGGGAAGGGAAAGTGGGGTAAAGGAAGGCTGGATGGCAGAGAGGAGTCAGATTTGAGAGCTGTTAAGGAGATGTGCACAGGGCAGGTGGGAAGTGAGAATGGTTCCACAAGAGCAATGAAGTCCTCAGTCCCACAGAGCCTTTGAGAGTACAGGCTAAGGGAGCACAGGTGTAGGGTGTCACCTGGCAGGTGGGCCATTCATGTGAGGGGCCCTGGCAGGATTGGGGAGCTGCATCCTCCTGCCCAGCCCTTGTTTTTTTGGCTGCTATGACTGAGGGGAATGTGCAGGGCTGAGGCTGCGTGGGTCTGTGGTGGACATGGTTCTCCTGAAGTCTGGCCCAGGACGGTGCCCCAGCCCTGCTCAGTCCCTGGCCAGCCCTCAGCTCTGCTTCCCTGGCCCTGAGCCCTCTGTGCCCTGGCTGTGTGTGCATGGTGAGAATGGAAAGGGTGGACCTGACATGGTAGCTCTCTGGTTATTCACTGACTGGACGGCTGCCTATTTATTCTGACTTGGAAAATGAACTGTAATACTCCATAGTTACAGTAGGAACAATAATGACACTGATGATACAAAGTGGGCAGTACCCTAGTTTGCCACAGGATCTAGATAGATGCAATCATGGGAACATGTGCATCACCCCTCCCAGAAGAGTCTGGAAGTGGCTTCAAATCTGGCAATGAAGCCTCTGTGGCCCAGAGGCCTGGAAGACAGAGCCCAGGCTCAGTGCTCTCTGCTCCTCCTCCTCCCCGAACCTCTTGGCCTCAGAAACCCTGTGCTTACAGGTTCTCAGTCAGTTCCCCTAGACAGGTGACAAGTCCCGTCCCATCCCTGCCTACTCTATTCCGTTCTGTGTGCTGACAATGAACTGTGAGTAACTTGCCTGTTTGTGTTCTCCAGGGGCTGTGAGGTCTGCAAAGGAAGCAATGTCACATTCACTGCTGCACTTACAACACGGGCTGCGGTGTTTGGCACATAGTGCCCTGAAAAAGAATTACTAAGTTACCAGTACCACTGATTTTATTAAATGGTTTACTTCTAATAACTATTAAATGATTTATTTTTATTATATCAATAAGTAAATGACTAAGTTTGGAAAAGATGAAAAAGTTAAAATCACGTGGAACTGAGTACTTTGAGAATAAACATTTGCTGTCCTAGTGAGCAAATTGATATAGGCACCTTCACGCCCCGCGTCCTGTGTAAGCAGCCACTCATCCCTGCATTGCATCTGTGCAGAGAGGAGCGGGACTCCATCACACAAAGCAGTGTATTGGAACAACTTTGTGGGCTCTTTGTCAGTGCTCATGATAACCAGAAACTCACAAAAATACATCGTGACTGAGAGGAGCTGGAATCACACAGCCCTGAAAAGTCTGAGCCCCAGTACAATGCAGAAGGGGGCTGCATCTGGACATGAGGCCTTTAAAGGTTAAATAACATTTGGCTGAAATCAGGCCCAGACTACCTAATCCAGTAGTCCTCAGGAGAAGAGCAGACACCAGGGACATCTGTTGAGCAAAGACCTTGTGAGGACAGTGCCAGGAAGCTGTTCTCTGCAGACAGCGAGTGAGCCCTTGGGGAACCAAACCATCATGCACTGTGCTTGGTCCGGCACTGAGGGAAGATAAAGGGAGCTAACCACTATGGTGGAGCTGTTTGGTCACAGTGGTCCCCAGAAAGCTGGCATGTGCAGCTCCCCCCCATTCTGGGCATACACACATATATGGATGATTTTATGTTCTATTTCTTGGGTAAAAATCCTTTTCACTATTCTTTGTGTGTTGGGGGGGGCTGCAAAACATCCTGATCCAATCCACTGAGAAGAACCCACAACTCCTTGGGATATCACTGTCAAAAAATCTAAGCATAAAGAAGCATCAGACAAATTCAGAGTGATGGACTGTCCTAGAATAAAGGAGGCTCAAGAAACATGACAGTTAGATGCACGACCCCAAGATGTTGCTTAGGAACAGGGACTGTGAGCTGCAGGAGGGCCCCAGGCTGGCAAAGCCAACCTTGATATCTTCATCCACAGCAGGTGGAAGTAGAAATGATGAACTCTGGAGAAGTATCCAAGCACTGAATGTTAGAGGACATGTAGATGAAACGATGCAAGAAGGGGAGGCTGTGAACTGCATCCTGGAACAGATCTCTCTCACTCTTTGTCTATCCAACCACCTATCCATCCATCCATCCGTTCATCCATCCACCCACCAATCCACCTATCCTTCCATCTATGTAAGTGGGATTTTGGGGAAATTGTCATAATTTGAATACATCCTGTAGATTAAAAAATAGTATTGTATAATCCTTCATTTCCTAGTTTCAATAATTATACTCTGTTTTTTTTCTAAATTGGTTTTATCGGTACATTTTAGATATACATAATAATAACATTCATCATAGGAATTTGTACCCATATATAATGTACCTTGATTCTTCTTTTTCCCCAGTCCCCTCCCCTCCCCTTCAACCCCTCTTATTCCCCTCCTTATTTACAAAAGCTTTGTTTCCATTTTTTCAAAGATGGCTCCTTTGTCAAAGATAAGGTGGCTGAGTGTGTCTGGAGTTGTTTCTGCACCTCTAATCTGTTTCTTTGATCCTTGGGTCTGTTTTTTTGCCAGACCATGCTGGGTTTTTTGTAAATCATGGTAGCTTTATAGTATAATTTCAAGTCAGGGACTGTGATGCTCCCTATCTTGCCTTTGTTGCCCAGAGTTGCTTTTGTTATCCTAGGTCTCTTCTGGTTCCAAATGAGTTTTAGTACTGTTTTCTCTAATTCTGTGTATACTCTGATTTTATAATAGAATATTCTTGTTCTTAGGAAATCCTGGGAAATATGGGTGAAAAATATTTTGGAATTTTTTATTCTCAAACTTCCTGTGCATTTCAGGTTATTTCAAATTATAAGTGTTACTAGAATTATGTATATAATTTTAAAACAAATTGAGAGGTATGTGCCTTAAAAAAAAATAGCCATTCTGTGAAATCAGATTGAAATGAATGCACACTGAAAACTGGCCAAGGTCCCAGGGAATGTTTGTGTCAGGGCTGGCCCAGCTCCAGGAACAAAAGGCACAGAGGGCTTTGGGTTTCGCGTCATTTCCAGTAACATGAAGGCCACACACCTTCAGTGTGGCAATAATATAAAAACCCTCAGGTGCTCCAGTCAGCACAGGTCCTGGTGTTGTGGGCTATCAGGATCTGGCGCCTGTCCAGTGTCACCGTGATTTCCTGGATGGCTCTCAGGAGTTTCCCGCTTTCTCTAGCACTCTGGGAAGGTAGGCATCTTTTTTTTCTTTTATCAGTAGAGTTTTCTTTTTTGCATGATTTATAGGGAGTAAGGTTACCCAATATGCTTTGATACTTGCTTATTAAACACAAAAAATTCTCTATGTGCATCTGTTTAGTGACAGCAGGAAAGCAAAATGACTTCAGTGGGCCCTGGACACTCTCACCTTTTGGAGGCCTTCTCACCATAATATGAATATTTAAAATTATTTCTATACAACTTTAAATATTTCAGCTTTTTTCTGTTATAGGCAAAATTTAATAGTTTTTATGTACCTTAAAAGTTTTATCTGTTTCTATTGTGAGAAGAAACTCTTTGGCTCTAAACCTTTATTTTTTTTATTTTGATTTCAAAAGAAATTCAAGCATCCTCATGGGCCTCTAAAATTAATCTGTATCCTAGGCTTTCTGGCTGATATACCTAATGCATAGTCAGTCCTGATATGCATTAAGTTTTGAATTATTTAGGCTCTTTCTCTACATCTTGAAAGAAAATATAATATTTGAATTGATGTAGGCATTTAGTAAAATTATAACATATTTTACATGTCCAATTCAGTCTAATTTAGTCTAATTTATAGACTAATCTAGTCGACTTTATAGACCTATCAGGATATATGCTCATATTCACTTACAATGCACATATTGCATCACGAGTACCAAAGCTGGAAATTTTTGCATATTAACATTGAACCAGGCAGCCTGTGTGTTTCCCTTGGTATCTGTTGAGAGAGGCCCAGGCAAGGATCATTTCCTATCCCCCTGGGATAGGAAGACCCCTGGGACCCTAGAGCATCCCAAGAGCTTTGGCTATCAGAACACTGTGCTTTGCCAAAAGACTTTCTCTACTTGCTTTTTTTTCCCCTTTGTTGGCATTAAAATGTTTTTCTTTTTTTAAATATAGGATAGCTCTGTGAAATAGTCAATGGTTCTATTGCGTCTTTCAGAAAATGTATTCTGTTTATGAAATTATACTTTATATTATCACAGATGATACTATAAAATCAAGTAGAAGAAAATATGCCATATGGACAGCTAATGTAAGTTTTTAAAATTATGAATATTAATCTTTATGCAAAAATTATTCAAAATAGTCAAAGAGAAAGGCAAAGCAAAGGATGACCTAATATTAAGTCTTCTATTTTCAGTCATCTGTTTCTGCAAATTAGGACATCTCAAACCATTATATTTGAATTTTAAAAGTATCTAGCAGAGCTGCACCTTTCAGTAAGCTCAGTCTCTGTCTCCTTGTTGTTCTTGCTGGTTCCATTGGTCCAAGAACAAGCACAATACCATGCACCCTGACAGCACTGAAGGAAACATTCTCCCACACCTTCCCCTGCCAAGCCTAAGTGCTGAGAGTGACTCAGAGTGGATCCAGCTGTAAAGATCATGACATCATGTACAGCTTTCAAAAGTGCTGGGTTACTTTGCTTCTGCAGATACAGATCTCCTGCATGCTGAGTGTACAGCGGAGAAAAGATCAGCAAGAAAACAGCATCTAAGGAACTTAACATAGCACTGACATCTGTGTCCTTTTAGCTAACAGGACATCCTGGCTCCTGAAGTCCAGAGCCATGGTTTCATTTACTTGACATAAGAAGATGATGAACACACTCCAGGGAGCTGGGTGGTCTGACATTCTGCACAGTGAAGGCAACTAGAGAAGCAGGAGAAAGTTTCTTGAACAATAATGGAATCTGAGCGGGGAATTAGGCAAGTGAAGCAGCTCTAGGAGGTGTGGGCCAACCCCACAGCTGGACTCAGGTGTCCTGGACTCACTATCACCAGACACCTGGGTCCAGAGGCCATCCTACATGGGACAAAAATGTGACACTATTATCACAGAGTACTTTTGTGAGGACATGTAAAGTTGTTTTTAAGTTTTTAAATAATCATACAGATATTATTTTCAAATTATAATTACAAAATTATATACAGGTTATAATTTTTTTAAATCTTCTATGGAAATTTCTAAACCTTTTATTAAGAACACAGAACTGCTACAGAGTGAATTTACAGACCAATGAGCATACTGAAGCTCAGGTTGAGGCCCTGATTTTCCTGGAGTGCAGGGGCGAATGAATGGGAACTCTTGCTGTTCTTGTCACCCTGGTAAAGTTTATCTGAGTAGTAACTAAATAGTAAGGCCATGCAGAAGCACAGACAAAAGATGAAGGTCAAGACTAGTTGGGATGTGCAGTTCTAAGTCTGAGCTGCTCGATTCCATGCAGGACACCTGCCCAGGCTACACGCTGTGATGTAGACATCATAAGGTTTGGACTGGCCAGGATAGAAGATGTCTTAATGATCTTGGGTCTACAATACTTGGGTCCCTACTGCTTCCTGCTGCTGTTTATTTTTAAGAGCTTAATGAGATTACACTCATGCTTAACCAAGGCCTAAGCACATGACTATGCGGTAGCACCAACTGACAAACAGGCTCCAAAGACATTGCCTCTCTTCTTTGGGTCTGACTCCTCTTCATTCTACCAAAGCAAACCATGCAGCCTGCTCAGGGCGAGGTCTGCCCTCGGGAGAGATCTCACTACAACCTCCACTCTCCCAGGTGAGACACTAGCCTAAGTACATTGAGTGGTAGGATTAAGAGGACTCTAAATTAGTAACCATGTTTAGTAAACAAAATAACAATTCTCTTCACGAATGCTTTTCATATCTAAAAGATAAATAAACTTTCCCATAGGTTGTAAGAGTGGATATTACGTATTATTAGGAAATATGATACACAATTATGGGATGGAAACAGAAATCTGCAGATCTCCTTTTCCTTTAACTGGAAAAAGCTTGGCTTCTGAAATAACTTTAAAAGTGATATTAAATATTTTTGAAAAATATTTCTGACTCTCTCAATAAACTCTTGAAAGCATAAGGAGGATTTGAGCTGTGGAATGAATGAAGGTGGGGTTGAAAAGAGGTAAATAGGCTATTGGAGCTGGGCAAATGCCAAATCCATCAAAAGTTTGCCATCAGTTTTCTCTTCCTCCTAGGGGTAAGAATAAAGAAGACAACGTCCAAGGCCTACCTTAAAAAGGAGTCTAGCAGTATGACCTGCCCTCACAAACGCTCTGAAGAAAAGCTTTTGTCCTTAACCTGTGAGTGATCTAGTAATTTCATGCCCTGCAAGGAAAATTCCCTGTCTTGAATATGCCACTGAGAGGACAAAATTCAAATTTTTCCTCAGTTTTAAATCACACTCAGCCACCATGTGTTTGCAGCCTCAGTTCATGGACTCTGTAACTCCCAGCAAGAACAAAGGATCTGTAAGCCAACAAAGCAGTGTGATAGGATTCTGGGCTGGTAGCTGGTGGCTGAGGGACCTGGCTCCAAGCCGAAATCCTATACAGTACATACTTTTTCAGGTTCTATCTAACCAATTACAAGCTTTACCTGGAGGGGGTCATTGGGAAAGCTGCCCTCCCCACACCAGATTTGGGGCACTGAGAAATCACTGTTTTTCCGATGCAGGATCTGTCAAGAACCAATCATCCCTTGGACCGCTACTTCTCCACCTGTGCTGCTCCAAGCAAATCTGCATTCCTAGCCTAGCTCTTCCACTCAGGGAACTTATTTTTCCATTTTGACTTTGACTTTTCACTCCTGGCCCTATTCACTCTTCTCTCTCCAGAATTGGAAAGCTAGAGTCTTCTCCAACTCATTTCTTACAATTGGTGGGTACTGCTATCAAAACTGACAAACACCATTCCCAGAATGAAAGTCTTGTGGGAATTGTGATTATGATAATAAAAGCAAAAAATTACTTAAAAACATAGTGTTAGGACAGGTGGCTAAATCCCCGGCCCCCAACACAAGGTTTTGATTGAGTAGGGAGGGGTAGGGGAAAGGAAAGAAGGAAATGGAATTAATAAGAGAAAATGAAAAAATGGAAACAAAGTCTTTGTAAATAGGGAGGGATGGAGGGGTTGAAGGGAGGGCAGGGGAAGGGGGAAAAAAATAAGAACCAAGAGAGATTATGTAAAGGTGCAAATTTCCAATGATGAATGTCATTATATTGCATACCTAAAATGCACCAATAAAATAATATTTAAAAAAGAAAGCAAAACCCACAAAACATAAAAAAGCAGTGTTAGAAAACTGATAACAAGTAGTTTAATAAACATAAGAAGGGATGCACAATTGATTTAATATTTGAAATTCTTTCCATGTAATGTACCATATTGAAATAGTTCTAAAAAATGTAACATATAGAATATAATTAAATTACCAGAATTAATTTTTCTTTATTATACTCATATAAAATACTTCTAATTAAAGTTTTCACATTCAATTATTTAGAGAGGTTTGAGTTAAAACATTTGAATATATGTTTTACTCGTGGTGATAAACCATTTACAATAGTGCAAAATTGGTTTCAAAGACAAATTTCACTTATATCATATTAGATATTTTTGCATTAAAGCTAAAGTGAATGAAAATTCCTAAAGATTTTACTTCTGTTTTTGTATGCTATCATTATATAAACTTATTTTGAAATCTATAGTTCTCATTAAATTGCCTAAAATTTTAAAATTTACATGTAAATATGTTAGGTACTAACTTATGATACATTATATATAAATTTATAAGAACTATATACATTTTATAAAAATATATAAATTTAATTATATAAATTTATACATGTAAACATGCATTATAAATAATATAGCATAACTTTTAATTTAAATGCACATATAATTAATTATGTAAGAATATATGAGTGTTTCTTTTGTTGATGCTGAAGAGTTTTTTCAGGCAGTGGTGATTAAAAAATGGAGAATTCAGCAAATAATGATCACTTAGAATAAGAAGGAAAAGATGGAAGCAACAACTAAGTGTTTTGTGGAAATGCAATCGAATTAAGAATGCTGAGTGACCACCTGACACTTAATTTTAGTATTAAAGTATGAATTTAGAGAAGGAAGAGCGGTGAGATTTGAGGTATATCAAACAAAGAAGCAGGACGAGACTACAGAGTTATCCCTGAGCCCTGCCCTAGTTAGAGGCACTGAAATGGCCTTGACACAGGTTGGGGTGTTGGGATTGTGTGTCCTTAGATTCCTTTCCATGGACTGAGCCACCCTAACTTCCACACAGAGTCTAAAGGCCCATTGAAAGGCACATGATCACTGTCACCACGAGTAAAGGCATAGAAGCCGTCTTCTAAGAGAATTCTCAACCAGTGAGGGGAAAGTCAAGGTAGAGTCCAAGGGTCTGAAGTGGGACTGAATAATGACAAACGAGAGTCAGAGGCTCTAGTTTGGAGCCATGCAGCGTGCTCAGTGGTTGAGCAGTAAGGACATGCCTGAGAGCACCTTAGAAATGAAGCTTGAGGCTCCCCAAACCACTAGAATGGGATCAAACAGCTTGGGTTTTAACAAGCCCTCCAAGGCTCACTAAAGTTTAAAAAGTCTGCTGTAATTTACTCTTTAAAGGATCCATGGAGACATCAGGTAGATATGTTAGAAGGAATTTAAAGTTCTATATTAGATCATAGTTTAAAGATAAATGTAATTGTGAAGCCACTTAATGACAAACATTTGATTTTTCTAGCACTGCAAGTCTGGAAAGAAAAACCTAGGGACTGGCATATAATCCAGTCAATGCCCCACAGTTATTAAATGAATAAATAAGCAAATGAATGCGTTAAGAGAAGCACCTTTCTGCTCTAAGTCCCAACATATATTATTATACAGAAGACATAATTTCTTGAATAAGTTGGGACATTGAGGGAAGAAATGAACCTGTCTGCTCTGGTCGCATGTATCTAAGAGTGATGGCAGGAAAGAAGGGATTGGCCAGGACTCTTGGCTTTCTGTAAAGTCTTGGCATACCAGTGCCAGAGCAGGCTAGCAAAAATTAAGCATCTCAATAGAAGATAGAAGTAGGAAAAAAGAAAATAATGCAGACTCTGTTTCTTTAGTTTCTGCATCATTATAGAAAGTGCTATAAGTTGGATAAAATAGTTTTTATTTAGAAGAAGCTCTGGTACCTGGGAATCAGAGGGCAGATTGGAGGAGACACTCTGTTAGTGTCTAGGTACATTCTCTAGAGGAAAAGGACGCTGCAAAGGCACCAGGCAAAAGCACATTGGATCAAGACTCAAGGCAGTTAACCTGGGAGAATTATTTCTTAGAGATCAAGGGTCTAAAAATGTTTATAAAACAACAGGTTAAGTGTTATGGGATCTGATCATCAGACTGCCTTACAAATTTTCATAGTGCAAAAAAAAGATCCTGAGAAAAAAATATAACTGTGAGTTTTAATACTTGGGTTAGCCAACTAAGGTTGGCAACTGTTTAGTGTTCCTGCCCCCTCACAAGCTGTGCATTGCCAGGAAGCCGATGTTAGATTATAAAATGATAATGAGAGCAAAAGAGGTGATGGAGATAAAGAGAACACCACCTTTTCTTGTGCAATGAGATTTTCATTAATTTCTAGAGATGCTTCCCAGGCTTCAGTTAGAAGGTCCTACAGATTTTAACACCTGGTCAGAAGACGGTCTGAACTGAAGCTCACCTGGAGGAGTAGAACGACCAGCAATGTGTGGGCCAGAGGCAGCAGACATCTCCGTTTTCTGATGCAGCTCTGCAGTAGGACACCCTTTCCAGAACTGCAGGCATGAATGGTGTCCCTGGCCATGCAGGAAGCTGGTGTGTTCCTTCCTCAGCCTTGTTCCAGCCTTGGCTAGCAGATGCAGGCTGCCCCTGAAAAGTATGACCTCAGCCAAACCACTGTCTGCTCCTGAGACAGCCAGATTCTTTCTGGAAGGGAGATCTGAGGAGTGGCCTCCAGGTCTGCCACAGGGAGGTAAGAAATACCAAAGGCTGCACAAGAGAAGGGACACTTTGCTTGTGAGTGTGTAATAAAGGATGCCCATTCAAGGAGGCACTGATTAGATGGTGTATGATTGGATCATGTCCACTGATCTGAATCATGTCTCATCCTTTGTTTTTTTACACAGGCACAAAAACTTAACATGGCATACTGTTTGGATTGCATTGGAGTGTGTCTGTTCCTTTGATCGGATCATGTCTGTTTGATCGTGCATTGATTGGATCATGTGTGTTCCTTTATTTTCACACACAGGCACAAAAACTTTTAACACGGCATAGCTAAAGGCCAAGCAGACACACATAGGTGCTGTAGTGTGTGATTCCCAGAGTTCATGTGTGGCAACAAGGTCTGCAGAGAAATGGGACCTCCAAGGTATGCAAGGAGTGGCTAGGTCATGAGTGCTGTGCTCTCAGGAGGGGTTAACACCAGAATTGGGACGAGGTTCACAGTCGCCAGCATGTAAGCTCAGCACCTCTCTCTTCCTCTGGTCCATGCAGGGCCTTCCACCATGTTATGATGCAGCAGGTCCCCTTCACCAGCTATACCCTTGATCCTGGATTTTCTGTTCTCCGCATCTGTGAGATCTAAGCTTCTGGTCTTTATACAATTGCCAGTCTCACAGTTCTGGTAGAGTAACTCAAGACTAAGTAGGGGCACTGGTAAAGGGGAAATGTAGTACATGTGTGACTTTTTATTTCTACTCTGGGTTTACTGAGAAGATTATCAGTTCTTATCATTTTCTTTCAAATTTTTACGGTTTTCTGTTATTCTGTGTTATTATAAAAAGTCTCCAATCTAGAATCTGCTAATAACATGAAATTTGAAATTTTATTAAATGGCAAATATATTTATTTACTTGTTAATATGATACTATAATTTTATACAGAATATCTATGTTTTTTCTTCACATTTCAGCCAGAATATTTTGAGGCTTCTTCAGATATCACTTGTTCTGTGTGAATTTTAACAATTCACTTGCTCTTCCTAACCCTGAATTGCCTCATCTGTAGAGTGGAGTTATGAGGGTGTGGAGTTGAGGTAGTGTTAGACGGTACAATGTGTGTATGTAATGGACTTGATGGATTTTTGCGGTGGCTGACATGTAGAAACAAATCAACATCTGCAACTCACTGCATTGTGATAAAGTAAACCTTCCTTTCTTTAGTGAAAATCAGCCATCACCTTAAGATATCCTTCTGCAAAACGTCTCTCTGGAAGAGTAACATGACCCAGATAGGGACACAAACCTCTAACTCTACCATACGGCCTCAACACTTTTCTCAGTTTGTCACAAGATGGCCCCAAATCCACATTCTGCACAGCCCTATATTCACAGAAATGGAATTCACACAGTGAGAAGGTTGTACAGGACAAAAATGGTATGTGCAGGCAGCCCACTTAATAACCAGTTGTTCAATTGGCTAGAAGAAGAGAAAAAAGCAAGCTTTGTTTGTTTCAATGGGCCAGAAAGCTCTTTAATGCATGTAAACATTTTCTTCAAGGCTAGTCTCCATAAGAGCAGTAAATAAATCATCCCATTGACACGTTACAGTTTTATTGGTACATGGCAGGGTTGACTGAGAAAAAACAGCAATCTTTACCTTTTCTCTCTTTTATAGTAACAATTATTTCATTTTTTGTTATTTGAAAAGTATACAAAACTGCTTCAAAACCTCGTTCTCTTTATCCTCTTAAAATTGAAATATAAGGAAAAACTATACATGATAAATCATGTAAGATCCTGTCAGATCAGGAAAACCTTAGATTAAAAGTCTTATGGGATCATGACTAATTCATTATTTCTTCTTCTTCATCTTACCTCAGAATCCCTAAAGTCTTAAAATGGAGCTTCAAGAAATTTTTTTCCAGGCAGTGAAAAATTCCTTCCTTTCTACTTTCTTTCTGCAATGCTAGAAGAAATGCCTGGTAATTGATTGCAACTGATGTGCAATACGTGAATCAATGGTAAAATAATTAACATAGAACATTAGTGTTCTAGTTCAACTTAATGGTGGTGTGGCTTGGACAAGTCATTTCAAGACAATCCTTAGTGTGTGTGTGTGTGTGTGAGTGTGTGTGTATGTGTGTGTGTGGTAAACGAGATAGTCTCCACAGTGTACCAGACACATGGCAGGCCCTTAATGCTTCATTTCATTATCACTGTTATTTTACTCATGATGCAATGGAATAATGGAAAGAGTTAATTTAATCTTCAGTAGAAATATCCAAACATAACTGCCGTTTCTCAATTTACTCTGAACTGCAGCCTCAATGCTCACTCCACATGGTGCCATATCTTCTAAGTTAGCCTGTTGTTTGTGTGAAGGTGGGGTGGGATCAAAACATCAATGTTTTCCCAGGCATGGTGGCACATGCCTATGATCCCAGCACTCGGGAGGCTGAGGTAGGAGGATTGACAAGAGTTTGAGGCCAGCCTGGGCTACATAGTGAGTTCAGGACCAGTCTGAATTACAAAGGAAGACCCTGCCTCAAAAAACCAAGAAAAAAAAAATCAATGTTTTGACAGTCACCGATTTTCCCATGTATTAGATTTTCTGCTCAGGATTCAGCAGCTGGTGTTGTGGTTTTAATTTTGTAATTATTCATGATTTCATAACAATCACTGACTCTGTGCCAACTCAGAAAAACTCAATTCAGCATTATATTGTAAAAGTAGTTATCTTAAAACTGGTCAAAATTTGAGATTGAACAGCAATAAGAAGAAATATGCTTTCCTATTTTTACTACCTTATTGTCAATGGGTATGGTAAAAAAATGTAATAAATTTAAAAATTTTTCGCTGTTTATCTGAGAACCAGCAGATTGTAGAAATCTCTTCATCTTTTATTCTGGTTACCCTTGTCTACACCTGCCGTGTGCAGGAGACTGGCGTATTTCAATATTTTCCATCTGAATTGTGAATGAGTTGATCAGATGTCTCCGCCCTCCTTTCCTAATCAAATATATTGATTTCCTACCAAGTTCTAGAAACTATACTCAAGTGTGAACTTTCAAATACAAAAGGATATAACCCAGGAGGTCAGGAGACCACACAGTAGTAAGAGGACATGCATGGATGTGTTCGTTGACCAATGAAAATTCACAGAACAGTGTCCTCTCTGGAAGCACAGCTGCTGCTGTGAGCTCAAGGAGCAGTGGAGAGCCCAGGTTAGCTGGATCAAGAGAGAGCAAGGCTCAAAACACTGGCTCAAAAGCTGCCAGAGAGGTACTGAGAAGCCAGCATTAAGGGCCTTGTGATCAATGCCTGAGGACTTGGGCATCAACTCTGAGCACCAGGAAGCTAATGGTGGATCATGAGCAGAGTCCTGGTCCAACTCCTATTTGGAGGGGACTGCACTGGTGAGTGTGTCAAGGGTGGACTTTGCAGTGGGGGAACATGCAGACCCAGCACAGCACAGATCTGATGGTCATGAAAGGCACCATTTGAGCAGTTGCACTGTACAGACAGAGCCAAGAAGGCTCCCTGTAGGCTTTCAGTGATGTGGATGAGACAGAGGATGCATCCACAGCAGTACTGTGGTGTCCACGCACAGCATACACTGAGGTGGCAGTGCTTGGCTTGGGCCCAGACATACTGAGAAGCAAAACTCATGAGAATTGGTAATTAAGCATTTAACTTCAAATGTAAGTATTTATCAGCTTAGGAAATTCCTTGTGAAGTACTTTACCTTTATATCAAGAGCCTCAGAATTCATCTCCTCCTATCGGTAACACCGAATAACAGCTGCCTCATTTCTATTGTTCCAAATCATCAATTTCTTGGTGTATTTCATAACAAGTATAAAAGATGAATATGGGTAAAGAAATCCTAATATACTAAAAATAAAATCAGCAAAGACTGAGAGGGAGAAATAAGTTCAAACACTCCTGTGTGTGTAGTAATGTACAGACCTTTTCTTTTCTTGCTCTCTTTTATTGAACCCTTCTCTCTTTGTCTAGTCAGGGATCCATCTTGGCTAGGAAAACTTCAGTGAATCAATAGAGAGGAGTTTTGTCATCTTTACACTACCTGGACATATTAGCAACTTTATGCTAACTTGTACATATTATCTTTATATGAACCTGGACACACTAGCTCTACATAAACCTGCACACACTGCCTTTGTATGAACCCGGATGTCCTATTTTTACACTGGCCCAGACATACTATTGTTATATTAACCAGGATATACCATCTTTCTATGAACCAGGACATTCTGTCTCTGTATTAACCTGGACGTGCTATTTTTACACTGACCTGGATGTATCATCTTTATAGTAACCTGAACTTATTGTTGGAAGATTTCCCCAGGAAACATTGCAAAGTCATCAAGTGTCACACAATTTTTCTTTCTGTCACCTTCCACTTCATTGCAAAGCTTCTATGCTTTGTTCTCATCTCTGCATGTCTGGGATCTAGAGCTTTGTGTTTCTTTCTCTGAAGAGCTGGTCCCTGAAGTCTCTTCCTCACCCTTCTAGTAAAAATTATTTCTTCTCCTCCCAGCACTGCTGGCAAAATAAGTCACTGATCTGGTTCTAGTATTTGATTCTAAGATACAAATGAATGAGCCCAAGCTTATCAAAGGCTTGTAAAGAGATTTTGCAGAAGTAAATGCATCTGTAATAGGAGAATAGATGGGGTTGTATTCATATTGGAGGCCACCTCTTAACAACAGCCTAATAACACACATCCAAACCCACAACACACACACACACACACACAAACACACATGGGCACACACATCCATGTGCATATTTTCCCATGTTATAAAGAAAAAAACGGCAAGAAATGAGCTTTGAAGCCACTTGCAACCTTTTCTCTCATAGCTCTTCTTTTTTTTTCCAAACTGCAGTTTTATACATAGCTTTAGTGCAAGAGAAGTTATGCTTCTGAACACTACATGCCATTCTGTCTCCTGGGAGTGTCCTGTGGATTCATACATTATTTTATGGGAAGGAAAATTAGAAAGCAAACACAATATTTACTTGACCAGGATGAGGTTCAGAAAGAGATGTACAGAGCTAATATGCCATTCAGTATTTTGAGAAATGATTAGAAATAGCTTAATCTTCATCTACCAGAATTCACTATTAAATAAAAAAACAAAAGATAACTCTCTTTTCCTTTGTAGTTAAGCAGATTTCCAACCACATCAAAATACAACAACTGCTAGGTTACTTTTGTAGTGGACTAATGAGCAACATGTAACGCCCAGCTGAACTAAATCAGAGTGGTCTGGGCATGGAGGATCCACCTGAGGATTGTTGTCAGTAGCCATAAAAAGAAAACTGGAGGGGAAGATTGTGACCTGTTGATTTTTCTAGGAGAAGCTTGCTGTGGATGGTTTTCCTGATGCGAACTAGGCTGTTCTCGTCAGAGGAGGAACTCAGGTTCTCGCTGTCGCTGGGAATGGCTGCTGTTTTCATCAGAGCAGCTCTGATCTTCACCGTGAGCATCACTTCCTGGCCCCAGTGTGGATCCCTCAGCCTGGTGGCACAAATCCTTCATCTCACCAGCATAGGTTTTCTGGCTCCCACCACTGGCCTTTGGGCCTTCCGGGTGCAGATTCTCAATATGGACAAGCATGAGACATTGCCATGGGCTCTAGGCCACTAGCTGGACTCATGGAGGACATTGCCTTGGACTCTAAGCCTTTAGCTGGACTTATGTGGGAAATTGCTGGATCCAGGCCGTTGGCTTGATTCTTTTGGCCTCTAGTGTGTGGTTAATGTCTTGCATTCCTTTGCATTTCACTTTTTGGGTAATTACCATCAAATAATCCTATAAACTATGTGTCCTGTAGTAAATGTATTATCTTACCAAAACTCTGACTACAATGACTTTAGATTTTAAATGTAAGGAAGTGTCACAGAATCAGGCCCATTCCTGATTATCCAAAGGCTCTAAATGCTATTTGTTCTGAGAAACAGAGGAGTGCTTGGCTGCTCTGTTAGGGATTGAGACAGTGCCTAGGGAGGCAAGTAGTTTTCTCGACACAATAGGCAGAAACAAGAAAGGAATCAAGGGCCCTGACTCACTGTCTGGTGTTTACCAAAGGCAGACCACATTACGATGTTCAAATTCATGGCCAAATACCTTCAAATACAGCTAACCGCAGGGACTGAGAGGGAATCAGGCCTCTTGGAGAAAAGCTGTAGGAACTCGAGCTGCTCCTGGAATTGTTAAGTATATCCCAGAATTATGGTGGCATGCTCATTTTATGTACTGTATGATAAAGCCAACCAAAGCCAGGCGCAGAGTCCTGGGGATGGGACTCTCACCCTCTTCAGGCTGAACTCAAAGCAATGTTTGGGGGAGCTAACATGCTGCCCCAAAGAAAAGACAACATTGAACCAAAGAAATGCAAACCAAAACATTTTAAAGTGAACAATCAAAAGGTGGAAAACAAATACTTTGTTCATCTATAGAACACTCAGGGGGAATAAAAAAAGAAATAGGGAGATGATTTGCTTTTTTAAAGAATTTCCATAATATCCGCTCTCCAAAAATCAGAACCAAAGACAAGGACTTAGGTCCTTGCAGTTGATGGATGAGAAGATCTGGGACACACATGAGGGATGGGAAGTGACACAGAGAGGAGTGGAAGCAATGTGAGAGCCTCTTACTGAGCTGCCACTGTGGGGACCTGAGCCGCTGCCTCCCTGGGGCTGCTGGCAGCATCCTCAGGTGTTCTGCCTTGAGGCTTGGAATCTGGAACCTGGAATCCTCAGCTCCAGCTTTCCTGTGGTTAGGAACTGCTCCAGCGCATTAACTCCCACCCCTTCTTGTGTCTTTTATTGCACAGCTGTCAAGCTGGCTTCTACTGGCTTCTGCTGCCTAGAGGGGCTTTGAGGCAAAATGCCAGACACCTGCTAGTGTGGGCAGCTACCAGGGCAAAGGCGGATCTGAATTTGCAGGAGCTCTTCTCTTGTGACTGAAAGTTGAGGTGAGTTTGTGGTATGTGATATGAAGAATAATACGTAAATACCATGGTCTGGCTCTTATACTACTTAAGGTTACTGAAACTGTATTCTAAGTTTTCTTGGTGTTCTTAGTCACTTTTCTCATTGCTGGGATGAAAACCCAACAGCCACAACTTAAAGGAGGACAGTTTTCTTTAAGCTCACATTTTTGTCCATGATCACTGGCTCCAAGTGGAAGGGCCTGGGTGGAGGACAGCTGCTCATCCCATGGCAACCAGGAAGCAGAAAGAAAAGGAGGAACTGGGGAGGGAGAGACAGCCTTCCAGGACACCTCCCCAGTGATCCACTGAATGCTTCAATTGATGAACCCACTGGTAAGTACAGCACCCCCATGATCCAGACACTGGCCCAAAGCCCCATCTCTGAACACATGAGACTTTAGGAGGATTTCTAGATCTACACCAGGACACTTGGCCCTTGAAACTTGGTCTCACCACTACCACAACTGGTCCCCAAACCATCATCAATATTTTCTGTCTCCTTCTTCACACCCATGTAGATTTTCCCTATCTTTGGTTAGAAATTGAGCTTATTTAACTTGCTTACGTGGTAGGGTAATCTAGACTTTTAGCCCTGAAGGGTTTGAATTTGGGGTTTTCTTGGCATTGTCTGGCCACAGTTGCTGAGATTCCTTACTGTTCATTTCCTTATAGCACAGAAACATCATAATCACAAACATCACAAGTGTTAGTGACTCTAATGCTTCGTGACAGTTCAGGTTGGTTAATCACCTGGAGTTATAACCCATTTACTTGTTGGCTGGTCTGCAAGCATGAAGAGCTCAAGTTCACCAAGTGGCAGTAGTTGCTTTAGGTGCAGCAGAATACTTTGTGTATGCCCTGGTATTGATTTTCTTCTCCTTGGAACCAGAGCACTTGTGTCTCCAAGCTTGGCACTGGGAGTCCTGGAAGCAGGAACTCTGCAGGTGGTCACTGGGCATGGTGACTAGAGAAGGTGGTGATGCTTTTCTGCCTTATTTCCAGGCTCACACATATATTCCGGCACCGTGTAGTGACCATTGCTTGAATGTGTGTACCACTTCCTGGGGATGGAGTCCAAACCTTTGAGCGTCACACCTGAGGAGGTGCATTGCAGCTAGAAAGTAATGCCAGTGCTTTCCAGAGTCTTGTCTGCAGTGTCACAGCAAGGGATTACAGGATTTGGGTCAGAGCAACCAGTATAGAAAACTGCTCTGCTCATTTATCTCTCTAAAATCATTCAATACTCTCTTCCCCCAAATCTTTCTTGTCAATTTTAAAAACTCTTTCCAAAATAACCCCCAAACTAGTTCTGCCCCCCTGAGCTTTATCTTTAAATTCTTTTATCTATCCTTTCCTTTAGCTCTTGATTTTAATAGACTTTTTGTGGATATACTTTCCAATAAAAGTATTTTTCTGTATTTTTAAATAAAAATTACTTTAGGCTTATGGCTCCTTCCAAACCTCAATGCAATCTCTCCCCCAGCCAGCATGAAAGAAGACCTGGGGATTCTCCAACTCTATCCATGAATGAGCCATATTTGGAGGAGGAAGGAAGAATCACAGAGGACAGTTGCTCATAAACATGCTTGTTCTTGGTGCACCCACTTAGATCAAAAGCTCTCCAGTGTACAGTGACTCCTTAGGTATTTCTGACTCCTCTCCCTTCCTGAGGAGGCACCGCTGCCCTTTCATCAGAGCGCTACAGGAGAGAAGCCTCGATGCTGGCGGTGACCCACTGGCTGAAGGTCTCGGTCTTTTCTTTCCCACACTATCTGCAGGAAGGCCGGGTGTGCACCTCCAGGCCTGTGTTATTTATCCTCCATCATTATTTTTTAGTGCTTATACACATGCAAAGATCAAACTTCAATACTGAGTCTTTATTACTCCATCTCTTCCTGAAGTTTTGCATCCCTTCAGTAAAACCTTCACAATATTACACAATACTTTTTATTGTGGAAAATAATGATGTGATTTTATACTTCTTCATTTCTGTAGCCAAAGCTTTCTAAATTCGCCTCAGGGGAGTGACAAGAATTCTCAGTATCATCTGACAATGTAAGAACAGTGGCCTGAAGTGTCAATTCCTACCTAAAGGACACTTTGGAAGCATTCTCTTCGCACAGTGTCCCCTTCTTGGGTCACCCTTAAACTCTCTCATGAAGCAGTAGTCAACTCTTTTATCTTTCCGTGCCCTGTAGTCTAGGGGTTACATCATTGCAAATTCCATGTGTTTTTATTGTCTAAAAATTGTGTCACTTTACTGAAGTCTGCTCAAAACATAGAATTATCCTTTGATAGTATTTCTTGTAAAACCTAGATGGGTAGACTTTTGATAATGATTATTCTGCAGTATCACCCTTCTGTTCATTAACAAGAGTTTGGATTAAAGCCACATGACTTTGTTGCAGAGAATAGTGTGAGAGAAACAGAGGTAAAAGAGGAATGTACAGAGAGTGTTGAGAATTCTGTGGCCTCCAGCTCCTAACCTGTGACATTTCCTTCCTTCTTTAGGCAGCTGGGCCAGGGAGGAGTCTGCAGGTAAGATTTGGAGAATGAGTCTGAAATTTACTTGTGCTCCAAGAAACATCGTACTGTCTTGAATGGTTTTTGAATTACTATTCTCTATTTCATTAGAGCATTGGCAGAGTTTTCACTTTGAATGAGCCAAAGTTCATTATCCCCAAACTCTCAGAATATTTTTGTATTTGAACCTTCCTGCTGCAATAGCAAGACATGAAGCACAGACTGTTGGAAAAGTTACCCAGGTCTTAACCCTTTCCCAGCAGAGAGGACTTGGATGTGGCTGTGTAGGACTGACTACCCAGTTTAAGGTAGTGGCTATACCTGGATGCTATCAGGAAGGGGCCTTCACTGTATTCTAAAAAGGACAGAGGACATGCAGCTACGCATTGTATTATTTTACAGGGTTATAAATTTCTGAAATATTTTACAGCTTAATTTTTAAACTACTCAATAAAGCATCATAATTATTTACCTGTACATGCTGAGGATGTCGCATTTGCTTTACATCTGCTTATAAACAGTAATTAGTAAATCGATTGTTCTTATAGGATTTTCATACAAGCTTTCTAGTTTGCTTACTTATCAGGAAGGAATTATTACAGATCATGAAAAAATTGTGCTATTCTGGAAGTTTTTTTTTTAACATACCATGTTGTTTCTTATTTTATATATTGTTCCTTTTGCCCTAGGACCTGGTGTGATGGGATGAACATCCAAGGCTTTCAGAGGATTTGGAGCCCAGATAAAATATTGAAAGAAGTTTCAAGAGAGGACTTTTTCTAGAATGATGGTTCTTAATGGGGGCAATATTTCCCACTATGGAACATTTGGCAAAGTCCACAGACAGTTTTGATTGTCAGGACTTGGGGAGTAGGAGGCTACCTTCCCCCATTGGGTACAGGCCAGAAATGCTGCTAAATATTCTACAAAACACAGGACACACACATGCCCCAACAAGGTATCTGTTACAAAATGTCTGTAGTGCTGAGGTTGAGAAACTCTGTTGTGAGATAAATTTTTTTTTTCTCGACTAGGGGTAATGTGCCTGGAACAGGAGGACAGAACAGTATACAGTAGGTGCTAGTGGCTCCAGAAAGGAGGCCCTCTGCCCTCTTTCAGCATATTGCTAAAGCTAGGCTAGATCTGGGAGACCTGACACAAGCAGTTTATTGGAAATCCAGGCAGAGGAGGCCTCTGATATCCTCTCATAGCATTCCTATGCCCAGCAGTCGTATGGGAGAAACATCATAATGTCCTTTCTCTATGTCTGTGGCAGGAGAATAGAGAGACAGCCACTGTACCTAAGCAGTTCAGGAGTGTAGGAAATGCATTCATGTCTGCAGATGTCAAGTAGACAAATAACAGTGACATCCAGAGAAGCAGCCCCACGGTTTCAGTTCTGTTTGAATTAAAAACAATCCACAGGAAAGGGAAGAATTAAATCACAGGAAAGACTGCTTGCCACCCTGGTGAAAAAGGATTTATAATAGGAACTGATCTGAACTACAGAAAATAGAGATACATTTCATGTGTACCTGTGGTTATAGAGTGAAATTTCACTCATTTCACCTTCCACTGTGTTACTGACTGGTAGTTGGGAATTAAACCAATGCTAATGAACAGGCTGCACACATTCCAGCATTACCTGAGCATTTTTAACTGTGCCACAGACCTTGTCCCTTCCCAGTTTCTGCTATGCTTAGGGATATGCACACCTCAGCTGACAAGTGCGAAGATGAAGGCCCATGCTACAAGTGATTGCATTTCCATGACTGGTCCTTCCGTGTGGAAATTCTATTTTCCTTGACTTTTATAATCACCTGACTTCACGTACCATGATGCCAGTGAGTTTGTATTTTCAAAGTGCAGGCTGACCTCCCTGTGGTTCATATGGAGACCTGTCTCCAGACTAAGGGTGACACCAGGTGTTGAAGGTCCTAGGAAGTCATAGGTCAACCTTGATTTTAAGAAACTCAAATCTGTTCTGCAAGTTCCTGATGAATATTTTTTATAAAGAATATCTTGCAGAGCTTATTTCTATCTGGAGAAGACTTCTCTTCTTTTTCCACAGTAAGTTATTAGCCTATCTTTCTGTAACCTTTCAGTAATAGGTTATTTTATTTTCCTTCTGATTTACTGGTAGATGAATGTGCATCTAAACAATCAGAAAAGTGGTGTTCAAGACTATGTTGTCTTTACCTATGTATTTAAGAGTAGCCTCCACCTGCTCCTGTATGTGGTAATCATTGCGCACACACACACATACACACACACAAATGCAGTGTGTAGAATACCCTGATTTCACTTTGTGTATTTTTTTGTTATCTTGGTCATGAAGAGATGTCTGGATTCCACTACCTCTAATTCAATTTAGGAAGAGAAACTGACACTCTATAAGGAATAATATTCTTACCAAAATAGCCTCTTCTTTCAATGTTCCTGGGAGGGCAACACATTAATTATGGAGGATTCTAACAGAAAATGTGTAACATACTTCACAGAATCACACTCTCCTTCACCTGTCTTGAAGTCAGTATTTGATCAACAGTTATTTCAAAGTTATGTTAAGACACTTAAAGCAGACTTCCAAAAAGAGAGAGATAAACATTGACAATTCTTGTACATAGCAATCCAAATTGCTCCCTTGAAATGTCCCATATTTATTCCAAAAGAGGCATTTATTGGCAACTATTAACATAAGCAAAGTATCTTTAAATGAAAGTCATGTTGTATTACTGACGAGTCTAAGGGAAATTACAGACTTCTAACTATTCTATATTTCTGATGCAATATCAAAACACAATTCCATAACCCAATTATTATAAATAATTCCTTGGAAGATTAAACACTCTAGGCCACAGAACAACTGCATATAATTGTTTTAAATAATGTCAAAGCGCTATTTTTTAAATATTCATATAATTAGAAAAAATAAATACTGTGCCAAAGTCACCAAATTCCTGACTTGTCCCTGAAAAATCTCAGGGTAATTCATAAATAAAGAAATGCTGTTCTAAAGGAGACTTTGAGTGTGGTTCAAACAGACTCATCATAATGACTTTAAACATTCTTTGGCATTTGATTTCTTAGTGCAGAAGAGAATGTAATTGGGAGGCTTTTCTGTTGGCATCTTACTCTAGAGGTCACAGTTTACCGACTATAAATTCCAACATATCTGTCTCTAGCCCTGTTGTGGTCGCTTGACATACTCCCCAGACTGCGGCTGGCTGCTGATTATTTCCACTGTCTGATGGTTTTTTCAGATTTCTGTGGATTTGACTTGATTTATTCTGTGGACATGAGCCTTGAACAACCCCAGATGAAAGGAACAGACTGTGTTGTGGTTGGTTTGATGGGGACAGGGAAGCCACAGACAGGGATGGAAACCAAGGTCAGCAGGCAGTGGAGACCCACATGTGGCAACATTGTCCATAGTACTCTGTAAAACCTGAACTTAGTTCTTAATACAAAAGTCATGGATAACCCTGATAATCATGATGAAACTGACCTCCAAGTGTGAAAATACATATATCATAAATCATGAAATTAATTCATTCTTTTGTAGCCACTGAAGCCTTAAAAAGTGAATTTCTGTTTGGTGTAGCACTGATTTCACATCTTCTGAGGCAGACAATGTCTCTGTGGGATGCATGTTTTGCACGTTTATTAGCCAGGAAACCTGGGAATACAGAGAACTGATTTTTTTCATTGAAGAGGAGTTCACATAGGGCTGCAAGGGGCTCCAAAGCTACTCTAAACTAAACTTCACACTTGTTATTAGCACCCTGTAAAACAAAGCAAATACAGTAATGGTACCCAAGTGTTAGGGTCCCCCCATGGCCTTCATGTGTTCAGAGATGAGACTTTCTAGAAGGTGACCCATGGGAGGTCTAGCTAAATGTGCTGTTAGGAGGTGGGGCCTGCTGGGAAGAGGTGGTCACTAGGGACAGGAGGGGGCCTGGAAAGGTGAGTCTCCCTCCCTGGTTCCTCCTTCTTTCTCCATTTCCTCCACCTGGGCCTCCCACTGTGCCTTTCCACTTGGGGCCTCCTGACTATGGACTGATATCTCTAAAATATGTGCCTCCCTTATGTGGCAGGGTCAGGTATTGGGTCTCAGTGAGGGGAAGTGACTAAGACATAAACCTTTAAACCTGCTGTGAAGGTTTGCTGATCAAATATGTGAAATGCACATGTTAACTGATTGCCATTACTATCATTGAAAACCACTCTGCTTTTCTCCCTAGTTGTTGGACAGTAGTAGCTATCGTTCAATGGATGCCTGCCACATGCCATGTATTTTATGCAATAATGTTTCATTTAATCCTCCCCCTTACTCTTCGAAGTAGTTACTATTCATGCTGATTTATAGATAGGAAACTTAATTTTCATAAAATCAATCATTTTCCCAATCTTAGCTCCAGTAATTATAGAGAAAAAATTCAAACTATACTTTTCTACAGTCTTACAGTTTTATGGGTAGAAAGCACTATGGAAAGTTAGGATGAAACTGCTTTATGTTCCAGGGGCTTGACTTTTGATCTACCCCTTGGTCTCCTTTGGAGCAAAGAAAGACACTGAAATAGATGCTGTATTACCTGCAGGACTTCCAAACCACACACAAAGACAGTTCAATGCACTTTCCTCACATTTTCTTTCTTTTTCCAGCTGTTTTGTACAGAAGACAACTTTGCAACCTTCAGTGAATGGAGAAAAAGTATTTGAAGGTAACATCTCCCAATTTGATAATCTGCAGAAAAATCTGCATTCCTACGTGTATCATATTGTAGGAATAAAACAATCATTCTCAGACACTAAGCAATCACGAGAGGACTGGAGAGTATATCTGCAGGAACAAAACTGCATTCGCTGGTGAGGGGTGGCCTTGCTCAGGAAGAACTCACCCTCATCTCCTTGACCAAATGCCCATTTTCAAAGTAAACAAGTGAGATTAAATTAGGTTGAATGCAATGCTCAAGTGTCTTTATTAAGTGGACAATTGTTTTTATTTTCATTGTTTTAGTATTTAAATATTAATGTCTGTGATATATCACTTTTTAAAATATAAGTAATGTACGGCTGGCTGGTTGGGGTATCATATGTCAGTAATCTCAGCAATCAGAAGGCTGAGGCAGGAGGATGGTAAGTTCAAGCCCAGCTTGGGCAATTTAGAGACTTAGTGAGCACTTGTCTCACAATAAAAGATAAAAATGGCTGGAGATATAACTCAGTGTGAAGGCCCAGTAATGCAAAAAAAAAAAAAGTACAGCTAAAATTTATCATGTGCCATGACTGTTCTATACACAGCGTTGTTAAGTATTATTACTTTGCATATTCACAGATGAGGAAACTGAGACCCAAAGAATTTACATAAAATGTCCACAATGATAAAGTTAGTAAAAATGAGAAACCAAATAGCCAAATATAGATCTTGACTCTTTGAACATTGTATTATACTGTTTCTCATGCTCTTTATAGAAAAAGTGGAAAAATAATTGAAAAAATAAATGTCACCTTGAATTGCATTGCTAAAAGATAACCATTGTCTATATGGTTAAAGCTTTTTGCACTACAGGATATCAAACCACCACTAAAAGTTTATGTTTTTCATTTTCATTATCATTCATAATTTAAAATATTTCAAAATTTTCCAAATATTATGATGATTTATTTTTCATGATATGAAATTGATTGGATTAAGAAACGCCTAGGTGGTTAATAACATCTGCTTCTGGGTGTGTCTGAGTGGGTCATGAAGTATGACATTGGGCACTATATCTGGTCCCTGGCCCCTCTTTCTCTGGCGCTGGTCCCCTGCTCTGCTTCCTAGCTGCCATGAACCAAGCAGCTTTCCTCTGCCAGGCCCTTCTGCCCTGATGTTCCTGCCTTGGAGCTGCTTACCATGGACTGAATCCCCTAGAACCTGGAGCCAAATTAGACCTCTCCTCCTGTGGGCATCCTGCATTGTGTCGCAAGAACAGTGAAGCTGACTAATATATATAATGCATCTTCATTTATTTTATGGGTATTTCTTTTAGATTTTTAAGTTGATCATTTTTTTACCACAAAAAATACCACATTGACATCTTCGTGTTAAAGCTTTTGTGCAGTTATTTAAAATTATCTTTCGGATGTAGTACTAGAAGTGTAATTCCTATGCCAATGACACGACTTATTTTAAGTTTCAGTACGTTTTGATTAAAGCTTTATGTAGAACATCCCGGTAGACTTTCTGTCTATTCTTCCTGTGTCCTGACCCTTTACTTACTCTAATGTAGTAACTTTTATTGCCTGAAGTATTCTGAGATTCCAGTAATTCAGAGGACAAATGGATTTCCAAACATAGGCCGTGACATTGGTTTAACAAGCTGACGTGATGTTTGCAGTTTTTGTGCTGTTTTCTCCCAAGCCTGAAGTGGAAGCTTCAGGCTCTTCAGTGCTTCCTGGAAGCAGAGTTTTGCAGGCTGCTCACCCAGATAGGAAGTGGGACTCTTCCTGGTTGCAGTCTCACCTCCCTCCTCTAGGCTGTTGTGTTCTCTCTGCTCCCGTGTTAGTCAAACATGGCTTCTACCTCCTGCTTCCAGCTTTTGCTTCCATAGCATCTCTGGTTCTGAAAAGCTGCTGCTTCTTCTTTTCTTTCTCCTGGGCCCCCAAATCTTTCATTTCAGTTCAGCTGAGTGTCCTACGACACCCATTGACTCCCCTGCCTCTTCCCCTTGGTGCTGAGCTTTTGGTAAAAGCTTTACTTGCAATCATTGTGTAACACATAATACTAGGCAGGAGGGAGAGGAAAAATCTTCCAAACCACAGAGTGTCTCAAAGGCATAACTTAAGAAGAATTCAAGATCTAGAGATGAATGGGACTGGACTCTTCTCATCCTACTACTGACTGGAGCTCAATCTGTAGTAAGTTTACTGTGAAAAGAAGAGTTCCACATTTCAATTGCATATTCAGTGCTAAGTCCACTTTGCAAATAAAGAATTGGTTAACGAAACGTAATCAGCTGGCAAGGAACTCTTGACATTTAAACAAAGACCAGGAAGAGCTCAGAAGTGACCATGGGAGCCTTGAGAGTACATTAACTACATGGGGTACTGCCTACCACAGCTTCCTGTGGAGGAGAAACTCTGGGATTGGCCCTAAAATAGGAATCTGAGGGAGTAAAATCAAGCTCAGGACTAGCAGAGAGGAATCAGAAAACCTAGTTCTAATAACAACCCTGACAATGACCTTGCATGTTTGAACAAGTTACTTTAATTTTTATTTCTCAATAGAAAGAGATAACTATGAGGACTGCATATAAATTATAAAGTAACCCATCCAGGTCATGTTTATCTGAGCAAGAGGTAGGAACAGAAATATATCATTGTTCAGGTTATAGTCCTGTGATCTTCGGGGGGGGGGAGGGAGAGAGAGAGAGAGAGAGAGAAATGGGTTTTTGGAAAAATGCAAAAATGGTTGCCATATTCTAGCACGTATTGAAGTAATCCCAAAACACTGGCCAGCCAGCTGATGGAGGCACTAACCAAGATCCAATGTGACATTGCATACCTTAGATGTTTACATGCCATAAAAAGAAAAGCGGAACTCATCCTGTCAATCACATGTTGTCAGATTTTTAAAACCATAGGAAAAGAAATAGAGTCTTGCATAAACACTTTTAAAAAATTTATATCTAATCATTAGTAAAATTTCTTGGCAAAGAAAACATCCTAGCTGAGCAATGTGGTTGGAAACACAACAGAGAGGAGATGGGGAGTCAAGGGAAGAGAGGGAAAAAGCTTGGTAGACAAGATCCACTGCAATAAGAGTGTCTTGATTGGAACCAAAAACTTGGCTTGAGTAAGAAAGACTGAAGAGCAAAATGGAACGTATTGGATTTTAAAGCCAAATAGACTAAATACAATGCATTATAAACATAATTTTATGATGAGAAATTATAGCAGAAAATTCTTTGGGAATAAAAACTGCTAACCAAAAAGGCATGTTATTGATAGAGGAAATTCTTTCACTTGGAGCATAATAATTGTTACTCTTATGTGACAGAGAAAAATAGATCTATCTGAACAGATCAAGACCTATGAAATCAGTACACAAAAACTATGCTAGCAAGGGAATCCAAATTCATGCCTTTTTTTTTGACAGAGACTAAGGTAATAAAATATTAGACTGAAGGTCCAGGTTTTGCATTTTCTGTCATCAGTTTCCAACTTATTAATTGGTTTATTTCCAAGTTAAAATTTTAATGTTTGGAATGTTTCCCCCACAAGACTAATTTTATAAATGTCAAAATTATTTCATTGAATAATGAATGATGTGTCTCAGCACACACACACACACACACACACACACACACACACACACACTTGCACCCTACACTCTAATCCCAAATGTGAGGCAATACCATATAGCACAGGCTACACTATGGTGATAGGATGTGGTAATAACCTACTAGTAATGGTTAGGAGCTAAATTAGTGGCCTTAGGAAATTTCTTAATTTCTATTAACTTTACTCATTTGAAAATGGAAATGATAATTATATTATAGAGTTGCTGTGAGCATTAAGATGACATAAGCAGGAGTCCTTTTTACATTGAAATATGCTACAAAAATATTACTCCCTTATGTGCTCCAACACTCTACAGTTTAGTTATTCTTTGACTTAAACCGTCAATTGTGAACAGTTGTGTACACTAAGTGCTGCTTACCACATCTGTAATGAGAGGAATGCATTGTGTAGCACAAGAGACTGCAGCTTTACCCATAAGCATAACGACCCCAGCTGCAATGGGGCCATCCAGCACATCTGGACAACAGAAAACATCTTAACCTCTTCCCCACCCTTTCCCAGATGGGACAATAGCTGCATCTCAGAAAACAACCTGTCTCTTCTTACTCCTCCAGTGACCTAGTATAATATTTTTACCATACTGTCTTAGTCTCATAACTGCCTGGACTTTATCCAGTGCTCTGAGAGGCTGAAGCAGGAGGGATAGGGCAACTCAACGCCTTAGAAAGATCTTGTCTCAAAATTAAAAGTAGGGGTGTGGAGCACTGGGGATGTAGCTTGGTGTGAAGGCCCTGTATTCAATCCCCAGTATTGAAAAAGAAAAAAGAAAAAATATTCAGTGATACTTACAAAAGCACTGTAGGCCGACATTATTCAAGACCCTAACTACAGGTGGGATCAAGGCAATGAGATTTTGCAGGTAGGAGAGAGACTGGGCTTAAATCCAAATTCAGCATGAGAAAGTGGGAATTTACAGCCAAAGAGTAGTCTGGAGGTCAATGCATGGAACATTACTGAGAGGAAGCATCTCGAGTAAGGGGGATTCTGGCAAAGCTGACCTACCTGGATCCCTTCTTCAGGGAGGCCAGAGCAATCAGACATCACCTGGGGATTGTCGGAAGATAAGGACACTGATCAGGTGTGGGCGGTGGTCAGGCAGGGGTGAGGAGTCCCTGCTTACTTGGTCAAGTAAGGGTTCTCTGCCAAAGTGGGATTTTACAAGGGTGTGCACAGATGAGTCTAAGAGAAGGTTCAGGACCCTTAATCGAGCAAAGTATCTTTGTCAATATGAGACTTGTTTCTCTGATTAAATTCTAAGCTGGTTAGAGGAGAAACCCAAATTTTGCATCTAAGGACTCAAAGTACCCAGCACAGCCCACACACAAAACGGGTGCTAGGCTAGTGCTAAGCAGAGGACAGCAGGTCTCTCCAGGTA